GTCTAGTAGAGGAAACAGGTGATCAAATTTATGTTTTTCAATGGAACTCTAGAAGCAGATCAGGATGATCAATTCGAGGGAGCAGAGACCAGAAGGAAGTTACTGCAGTGGCCCAGCAAAGAAACACTGAGTGCCTCAGCTAAAGCAGTAATAGCAGTAAAAGCGTAAAATAAAAAGATGAAGAGGGGGCGGGGGACAAATTGATTACAGAGGTGTTTAGGAGATAGAAAGTGGTTCCCAGTATCTGGTGTGTGGTGGCTGGTGAGGGCATTACTGAATACAAGGAAACACTGGAAAGGAGCAGGAGGCGTGCTTGTGCTAGGCTTGCCCGCAGCGCAGGGAGCAGGAGAAATAATGGGTTCCCATTGCCTGTGTCCAGTTTAGGGTCCCTGCAGGACAGACTCTGTTCTGGAGCTTTTAAATTTATCACATGCAAATCTAACCCACTAAGGTAAGAAAAAGAAAGGATACTAATCCTTTCCTCAGCCGACGGTGATGACCTGCAGTAGAGGCGGAGATCACACACTGTNTCCTTTCCTCAGCCGACGGTGATGACCTGCAGTAGAGGCGGAGATCACACTGCAACTCCCAAAACCTTGGGAAAAAGCAAGGACTCTTTCGCAGTGCACAGGTTTTGCCTCTGTGTGCTTCGGCAGGGGCTGTGCCTGCTGCCTGCCGTTTGCCTTGGGAGTGGATCACATGTGCTTTGGCATGAAGTCGTCCCACCGTTAGGACACTTAGGTAATGGGGTTGGAGGTGGAGATGGTGAAAGGTCACAGGTTCCAGTTCCGTACACAAACCAGTCACAATCAATAGCCCTCATAGACTCAACAAGCAACCTCTTGACACACACTGTGCATGGATGGATGAATTCAGTCATGGAAGTAACAGCCAAGCCCAGAAATCAACAGTCACTGAGTGAGCATGACCTGCCAGTGGTAACTGGCGACACCAAGAGAGACAAGTCATTCATTGCCAAGCTCTGCACGCTCAGCCTCTCAGAGCCACAGGGAGCTAATCTGCAGCTGGAACTCCTCGCTCAGACAGGGAAGACTAACCGGGCACACAGCACTCAGGTCTGCCCGAGAAAGGCTGAGTAAAGACCTACATGTTTGCGAGCTTGCAGAGAGGAAGTGGTGAGCGGAGGAGATGCCCCACACCCCATCCATCCCTCCGATGAAGACGGTGAAAGTTTGACTCCAAGCTTTGGTGAAAACAGTTTAAAAGAGGAGTTCCAGTTTAGTTTTAAATGTCAATGAGAGGATCACGGGGAACTGTNAAACAGTTTAAAAGAGGAGTTCCAGTTTAGTTTTAAATGTCAATGAGAGGATCATGGGGAACTGTTACTTAGAAGATGTGCCACCAAAACTTAGGTACAGCCATCCTCTCCCCCCTTAACATGAGCTAGACGCCGTGTGCACATTTCAAGCACTGCAGCGAAGCAGCAGGGCCCGGGGCCTTCTCAGCTGGTGCTCTTGCCTTCTGCAGTGGCTTCCTGCCTCCGAATCAAGCGTGGGGTCTGCATGATAGCCCTGAAGGATAAACAGGCCTGTACAGCCCGAAGCAAGGCTTGGAGCACAGACAGAGTGAAAAACAACAACTAATTTTCTATGCCTCAAACACAGCCCTTTCCATCTAAACTCAGGCACCTGCAATGTGGGCAGTCTGCACAGCAGCCTGGTCCTGCGAACGTTCTCAACAGCAAGAGCAAGCACTAATCTCAGGAGATGCAATTCTTTAGCATACGTTAAAAAGCCGTACAATTTAATTCATAAGCATGTATCCCAAGAAAAAGACAATGATATACACATGTTTAAAATGAGAGGCATTTATTCATAACCAGGCTGCCGATAAATCATGCCACTCCCGTCTCCCCAGATGCAGGCTTCCTGTCTGGGCAATCATTTACCAAGGGGAAGAAATAGGCAAAATTTCTAAGTATCAATTCTGGCCAGAAGGATGAAATCAGGGCATGCCGATTACAGTAGTTTCTGTTCTATTATTGATTCAATGCAGCATGTCCCTCCTGCCTCTCAGTGCTCTTATTAAAAACAGGAGAACCTAGATCTCTGCCCACTTGCCTGTGTTGTTGTGCCAGCACGAGGCTGGCATTAAACCATTGCTTTCTAAGCTTGCACCGTGATAGTTCCTGTAAGGAAGGAATGTGAAACATACTCACTGCCCTCCAGAAACTTCAGTCTGTTTATGGGAAGCAAGGTAATGCACAAGAACTAGAGAGCAAAGCAGGAGTCACAATGAAATGGCTGTGGACACAACCATTGGAATCTCTAGATCAAAGTCTTAGCTCAGAGCTNTAGATCAAAGTCTTGGCTCAGAGCCGTTTAACCTTAGAGAAAATTCTGTTGTCACTTCAAAGCCTCTCTGCTAACGCCCTTATTACTCAATTATGGATCTGTTTTATAGATTGGAATGTTTCCAAATGACCCNGCCCTTATTACTCAATTATGGATCGGTTTTATAGATTGGAATGTTTCCAAGTGACTGGACCGAAGCAGAATTGTGGCCTTATGCCTCAATGCTTTTGTGAAAAAACAATCTTTTTATTGACTCTCTGTTGTTCATTGTAACATTGGCTGATGATATGGGTATTTTCCCTTGGGACTCAGGGAAATTTTTCCCAGGAAAGGCAGAATGAATACAATACAATGACTCTGGGTGGTTACTGCCAGAGGCTCGATTGAAATTAATGACCTAGGAATGCAACAAACGAAAAGGTCTGCACCAATTAATTTCCAGAGCTCTCCAAAGTACCTTTCTTAATACTTGAAATCTGCCACAAGCAAATAATTCCTTTCTTATTTCTCTTTTTGAAAATTTAAAATAATGCAGTAAAACTGATTACATTGTCATTCATAATTTCTACCCCACAGTATTCTTATGTGCACCGAAGTGTTTTGTACTCTCCTTGATAAGAATTGTCATCCTCAGAAAAAAAAATTAATTTAAAATTTGAAGAAGTAAGAGACCGCAATAAGTGTGCCAATTTATTTTTCTGTCACTATCTTTTTGGGAGGCTCAAGTTACAGGCGCTTCAGATCAGTTGTTTTCTATTCTCTGGGGACTGTGACTTGGGGAGTCAGACTGCACGCCTGCTGCAGGGGTGCTGCTGTGGATGCTCCACTGGCCTCCTCTGCGGACGCCCTCTCGGGGTAGGAGCTCTTCTGCAGGAGCCAGCTGGTCCCGCCACGGGCGGCACCACAGTTCACACTCTATCTCCGGGAACCGAGACTTGCACTCGAAGGCTCAGGGGCTGGTTTCACAGAGCAAGGCCAGAGGGGCTGAGGCTCCTGGGTCTCATCACTTAGTGCAACCAAGTTACCTGGGCCTGGAGCTCGCGGCCTATAGACCTGGGTACGGACCCCAGCTCCAAGGCTGTGTGACCTTGAGCCTCTCTTCCCTCAGCTGTAGAGCGAGCCAAATAGTTCTTGCTTTGTAAGGGTAGTTCGAAAGTTAATCTAAATGAAGGTAACATGACCTGTCACAGTTCCTGGCACATGACTGAACAAGTGCCCACAGATGCTCTTCAACTGTCCCCTTTTCCTATCCAGACCCCACCCCTTCACTCAGACCTTCAGGAGCATCTGTCCTGCTCCTGCACACAGTGCCCACTCCCTGCCTCGCGTTTCTTGGTATTGACTTACATTTTGTTTCTATAGAAATGTATACGAAATGCTCAAAGAAGTGAGGGAGGTTTGTTGGGGCTGAGTCCCTGCCTGGGCTCAGGAGCGGCCCGGCTCAGGCCAGCCTGACCCTCCCCGATTCTCTCGCTCCGCAGAGGCCTTTAGGACGGGGCGCACAGAGACGGTGACGGTGGAGGAAGGCGACGCGCTCACCCTGGACTGCATGGCGCCCCAGGCCAAGGCCGCCCCC